CGTCTCCGAGAGGCCCGGAGCCCCAGCGCGCCGCCGGGTCTGAGGGGAAAGTGGGAGCCGGGCCGGCCGCCCTGGCGGGGAGCAAGAGAGTGTGACAATCCGGGACTCCGGGGGGCGCGCGGGAACCCCCGTCTCAGGAAGTCGCCCCGGAGCCCGGCCCTCGGTGAGTCACCAGCCCTCCGGATCTCGCCCCAAATGCTCATTTCCGAATTTCCGTCCGTGGCGGCTGAGGGGTGGGAGCTCCCCTCCCCCAGTTGACCATTGTCACCGCGGTCCAAGGCAGGTGTGTTTGCAGGGCTGGGCCTGCCGGCCCGACGCCCCCTGTGAAAGGGCGAGGACGGCGCTGGTCAGGGCGGGGGGCACACCTGGGTCCGGCCCTGGCAAGGTGGGCGACGGGGGCCTAAGGACGGGGTGTGGCCCTCCGAGGGAGCCCAGAACTGAGGAGAGGGAGCTCCCGGAGTCCCCTTGGCTGAGGACGCACAATCTGGCCATCTCCATCCTGAATCACCCTGTCCTGCTGTAATCCGAGGTCCAGCTCTGTCTTAGAGCCACGCTTCCTCCTCCACCCAACCCTGCCCTTCATACCAGCGGCGGGCTGATGGAGGCCTGGGGAGAAGGCAACTTGAGTCTCCCACCCCCATGTGTGTTAATCCCCCCAAAAGAGCCCAAATGGCCGTTCTAGTAAACAGTGTGCTACGCAAATGTCATTTCAAGGCAAGTCCTCCAGCTTTGTCCCCTGCCCGCCAACTTGCTGCCCCTACATAGAAATTCTAGCTTTCTTATCCTACATGCCTCTCCCTACCTTTGAAATATGGGCTGGGGTGGGTCTCCAAAGACAGATCTACCTGCCTCCTCCCCTCCAGAATCTGAATATTTTCAAGGAGACTCCCAGCCCCCACCTGGAATCTCCTGCGCTGATAGCATCGTTACCCCCTTTCTGGGGGGGAAGGCAGGAAACGCCCCTCTTCATCTGAATCCCCCACCACCACTGCCCAAGCCCCAGTCATCTACCTTTATTTCAACTGCCCTTTATCTCTATCTCTGTGTGACTCTTATCACCATCTGCCTCATTTTATGGTTCTGTACTTTTGTGCCAGGCATATCTCTCTCTCCTGCTGGCTTGGGAGCTCCTGGAGCCCAGGGGTGGAGTCTGAGTCCTTTCTGTCCCCTCCCCCTCCTTGTGCACCGTCAGCATCTGGATAGAGCAGCAGCCCCCTCCCAGGCTTGCCTCTGGACTCTGGCTTATCTGGCTCCTGGACTGTTGTTGTTAGAAGATTTGTCTTCTTTTGAGGGACTGTATTCTGTGATTGGAAGAGATTTGCAGCCCTCTCCTCTCTGCAGAGAGGAACAATGAGTTAGGAAGGGCCGCTGTTCTTGTAGGGAGTGACTTGCCAAATGAGGAGGACAGTACACGCTCTGCTGTGATGGAGGTGGCCCAGCACAAGGCCCTCTGGGCACTGAGTGTTGAGTGAGCCATTCTCTCCTCTGGCTTGGGAGGCAGTGTTGTTAGTTGCCGTTAAGTCGGCTCCGGTTAATGGTGACTTCATATAGAACAGAATGAAACGTTGCCTGGTTCTTCACCAGCTTCATGATCGTTGGTATACTTGGGTTGCGACCACTGTGTATTTTGAGTGCCTTTTAACGTCAAAAAACCTGTTGCCGTCAAGTCGATTGTGACTCATAGTGACCCTATAGGACAGAGTAGAACTGCCCCATAGGGTTTCCAAGGGGCAGCTGGTGCATTCGAACTGCCAGCCTTTTGGTTAGCAGCCAAACATTTAACCTCTGCATCACCAGGGTCCCCACCCCTTCTAACCTAGGGGGCTCGTCTTCCACCACTACATCGGATCATTGTCTGTTGAGATGGATAAGGTTTTCATTGGTTAATTTTGGAAGTAGATTGTCAGGCCTTTCTTTCTAGTCTTTCTGAGTCTGGAAGCTCCCCTGAAACCTGTTCACTATGGGTGACTGTGATGGTATTTGAAATACCAGTGGCATAGCTTCCAGCATCACAGCAACATGCAAGCCACCACAGTATGACAGACTGACAGACGGGTGGGAGGCAGTTGGGTAGAGAATTGGACCCTAGGAGCCAGAAGGCCTGAATTCCAGGTCTGGGTTTACCCATCACCGGTTGTGAGCTTAAGTTGTTCACTTGGTTTTTCTTGCTGTTGGTTGCTCCTCATGGAATCTTAGAGAACATTCCTCTGCATATACAGGGCCCTTTGGGGTCTGGGCCCTGCCTTTCTTACTTGCCTCCTCTCCCATCATTTCTTTCCTCACACTCTATGCTCCAACCATCCCAAGCTACCTAGAGTTCTTCAAAGGCACAGTGCTAGAATGCCCTCGTACCCTGCCCCCCCTCGGCCTTATGAACTCTTCATTTTCTGATTCCCAGGCTTGTCCTCTTTGACCTTCCCAGGTAGAATTAGTTGATCACCTCCATCTTTGTGCCACCCTAATCCACTTTACCACACCGAATAGCAATGACCTGTTTATATGTGTCACCCCCTAGACGGGGACTTGTGGGTGGCAGGGACTGAATCATAGTTCTCCTCCAGTGCCTGGCACGTGGTAGGCTCTTAGGAAAATGCCTGTCGGATAGATGAGAGGATCGGATTAGATGTCCACCAAGAGCTATTCTAGTTCAGAGCTGCCTGCTTGTACATACTCTCTCACAGGGACACAGCCGTGCCTTCCTCCCTGTCTGTTGTTGTTGGTTGCTGTCAGGTTGGCTCCAACTCATGGTGACCCCATGTACCACAGAACGAAATGCTGCTCGGTTGTGCACCAGCTTCACAATTGTTGGTTTGCTCGAGCTGTTGCCGCTGTGTATTTTGAGTGCCTCCGACCTAACGGGCTCATCTTCCAGCACTGTATCAGACAGTATTCTGTTGTGATCCGTAAGGTTTTCGTTGGCTAACTTTAGAAAGTAGGTTGCCAGGCCTTTCTTCCTAGTCTGTCTTAGTCTGAAGCTTCGCTGAAACCTGTCCACCGTGAGTGACCCTGTTGGAATGTGAAATACCAGTGGCATAGCTTCCAGCATCATGTTGTTGTCGTTAGCTGCCATCAACTCTGACTCCTGGTGACCTTGTGTACAACAGAACAAAATGTTGCCCGCTCCTGCGTCATCCTTACAATCACTAGCATGTTCGCGCCCATCGTTACAGCTATTGTGCCAGTCCAGCTCACTGAGAGTCACCCGTGCCCTTGCTGGTGCTCTGCTTCACCAAACATGATGTCCTCCTTTACTGATTGATCCCTCCTGATGACGTGTTCAAAGTAAGAGAGTCAGACAGTGTTCTTTTGTGGTCTATGAGATAATTATTGGCTAATTTTGGAAAGTAGATTGCCAGGCCGTTCCTCCTAGTCTGTGTTAGTCTGGAAGCTTTGCTGAAACCTGTCTACCATGGGTGACCCTGCTGGTATTTGAAATACCATTGGCATAGCATCCAGAACCACAGCAACATGTAAGCTATCACAGTATGACAAACTGACAGATGGGTAGTGGCCTCCCTGTCTAAAGGCCTATTTTAAAACCAGGCGAATGTTCTCCTAACCATCTCATCCAGTTAAGTCCTTCCAATGTGGTATTCTGAGAAGGACCATCATGGACGATGTACAGTTATTTGTAGACATTAGAAGAGGAAACTTCTGGTGCTTCAAGATCACTGCCTTGCTGTTTTTGGAAAAGATGCCAAGGGCCTAGTGCTCTTGAATGGAAGGATGGTAATATCACCTCTCCGCCTTTAGCCCTCGGAAGGAGAACCACTGTTTATTCCAGGGCATGGAGTCAGAAGCGAGCCGTCAGATGCTCGCACGCCAGCTCTTAGCCTTGCTTAGGTTACATCAGTCCCTTTGCAGCCAGCCATTGGGATGC